AGTGCAGCGGCGGCAGCAGTGTGCGGGCGCTGCCGGACGCGGTGTGCGCATCGTGTGCGCTGACCACAGCCATGGTGTGCAGGCGGCCAGGCCGCGAGAAGCTGGCGTAGACCAGCGGCTCGTGCGGGTCCAGCGCCAGGATACGCGCTGACTCGCCGGGTGCCGTGGCCAGCGGCACGGTTGCCCGCAGCCGCAGCACCACGGGCAGCGGCTCGGCCGTCGGCTCGGCCGTACTCTCGCCGGCGATGCCCTGGGCGGTCTGGTTTCTTGCGGCGCTCTCGGCCTCGAGCCACTGCAGCCTACGATACGTGTCTTCGGCGACGGTCCTGGCGCGCATAGCCTCGTTGCGCATCTGCGCGTACAGCACCTGGTAGTGCTGCAGCTCCGACTCCAGTTCGCACGTGCGCGATGCCAGCCGCTTGATCTCCCGCTGCAGCTCCTGCTGCCTGGAGTCATCGAGCGCGCGAATGCTGCGGGCGAATATCGCTCGGATGTCGCGCGTGGCGGCAGGCTGGTTGCATTCGGGACATCGGCCTTTCTGTGTTTTTTGGCGGCCGTTGCCGCGCAGCAGCCATTTGCGCACGCAGCTGAGCCCGAAGAGGTGCCCGCATTTCAGCGACACTACACGGTGTGCGCCGCTGATTCCCCAGCCGTCGAGGCAGATCGAGCATGTGCTGCTCTCGTCCCCGTCTGCCGCCGCTGGCGCTGGCGCTGGCGCTGGCGGGACGACGGCTGGGAAAAACCCACAAGCGTCGGATGCCGGCGACTCCATTGCTACGGCGCTGCGCTGCTGCTGGAACTCGTGCGCGTCATCGCTGGACCCATCCGAACCGCAGCCTTGCATTTCGGAAACGGGCGATTCTGATCGCCGCGAGCGCTTTGGTGCGCGGCATTCGGCCACACTGCTGTTAATGCTGGCGCTGCTGCCGACGGAGTCTATTCGCAGCAGGGATAGGGTGCGTGGTGGGCCTGCTGATCGCCGTTGATCTGGCTCATGCTCATGCTCATGCTCATGCTTGTGCGCATCTACGGCGGATGCGGATGCGGATGCGGGGCGTTGCTGATGTTGATGTTTATGCTGGTGCTGGTGCTGGTGCTGGTGCTGATTATGAATCTGTGGTTCGTCGAATAGCTGCGTGAGTGACGGCGGGCTTGGAGAAATATCTTCCTGGTCGAGACCATCGCCTGTCTGTGCATGGTCTGGCATTCGCCTCAACCAACCCCCTTTTTTGTTCGTTGAAGGGATTATGATAAGGAGGAGGGCTATTGAAAAAATACAGTACACTAAAATATATTTACGAGTGATTAATGCAAAAGCAGGCAAAGCTATAAGAAATAAAATAAAAAAATAAAATCAACTATTTTTTTAGGGGCTGCGCATTTTAATAACGAAAATAAAATAAATAAGTAAATAAATAAACGAGGGCAGATTAGGACACTGGAATTGCTGCTTGTATAGAAAAAATAATTTATGGGTGAGATTAGGGTTTTCTCCATTAATTTTTATTCATAAGGCGTGGTAAAATATAGCTTTTTGCTTTGCTTTGCATTGCATGAAATAAAATATAAATAAAATATAAATTATACAACCCTCCTCCCTTAATATTTCCATTATAGTTTTTTTTCAATTTTTTTTCCCTCAGGAACAGGATCCAAATGTTTCACTTAGCATTATTGTAAGCTAAAAAATACGTGTATTTTTTGCTTGCATGATTCCATGCTGCTATGCTGCTATGCTGCTATGCTGCTATGCTGTGTGCCCAGAAACTCCTAAATGACCCTACCGCCTTCTACTTTTTGCGGCCGACTCGAAAAATAAAAACAACAATTCGCCAAAGTCGATTGCGTATAAAACCCACCGACTGGGCCCGCCCGACGACACCAAAAGGTGAAAAACAAAAAACATAAACATCATCCCATCCCCTCCCATCCCATCTCGTCCCATCCCATCCAATCCCATCCAATCCAATCACATTTCAACCGATCCCCCACGCAAGTCGGGTCTTTTTATTATACATCATGATCTCTGCGCTCCAAACCCTCATTCTGCTCTTCGGCACAACTCTCGGGCTCAGCGTGCCGCTGCTAACAAACACAGCCGAGCGCATTATCGGCGGCCAACCCTCGCTCCCCTCCGCCTTTCCCTTTGCCGCATCGCTGATAATCCGGCTTCCCGGCGGCACTGGCTTCTGTGGCGGCACCCTGATCAGCGACACACTGGTGGCCACCGCGGCGCACTGCGTCTACAACTATAGCCAAGGCCGGCCCTGGCCCGCCACCGCCATGCGCGTGGGACTCAACAGCAACGTGCTGGAGAACCAACGCGCACTGCCTGTGCTCCAGGTCTACGTGCATCCGGCGTTTGACCCGAGGGAGCCTAAAAACGACATTGCTATTGTGCGTATTCCGTCTTCGGGTGGGGTGGAGACCGCCAGGGTGTTTGATGGCAAGCTGCCCTCGGGCACGCGGCTGACGGCTATAGGGTGGGGCCGGACATCGGCGGCACCCGGGTCGGCACTGCCGAGCGCCCTGCAGCAGACCGCGATTGCTGTCGGAGAAATCGAGTCGTGTGCACAGTTCGTGCCTGGGTTTAAGGGCAGCGATGGTCCGCAGATCTGCACCGAAAACAGGCTGCTTCCGGGAAAAGATACTTGCCAGGGAGACTCTGGCACCGGAGTGTTTGTGGAGGATGCGGGGAAGATGTTTTTGGCTGGACTGACCAGCTACGGAGCGAATTTGAATGGTGATCCGACTTGTGCCTTGGATGATGGGTTTGCGGTGTATACCCATGTGGCGTTCTATCGCGCGTTTATCAATTCTGTTGTCAAGTCTGCTGCTGCTGCTCGCCGGAGAAGAAGGGTTGCTAGGGAGCGAGCCAGATCCACTGTGACTGTACTTGTACCTATTATGCCTGTTGTTGCTGCTAATGCGCTTTAATCTTTTTCTTTTCTTTTTATTGCTTTCGTCATCATCCACCGATCTGGGCCCCTCACCTTCCCCCCCTCCCCCTCCCATTTTCACTTTCAATATTTTTTTTGACTCTGAAAAAAAAATATTGAAAATGAGGTGGGGGTTGTGGTGGGAAAGCAACGAAAACCTCTGACGTGTTAATTATTTTTTTTACACTTTCTTTTCTCTTTATGTTTTTTCTTTTTCAATTCAAAACGTTCAATTTGTTAAACTTAAATTTAAATAAAAAAAAACCTTTTACTTTTCAATTTCATTATCATTTTTCTTCCTGCATTCAACAGCTATCAGCATTTCAATATTACTTTTGTCTTTCTATTAATTCTACAACCAAATAAATAACAACAAAAAAATAAATAAAAAAAAGAGAGAGAAACACAGAGCGCAGCTTGATCCCTTTTTCATCCCTATTTAAACTGCTGTAGAAACTCATAGAACTTTGTCATCACTGCGCTTTTCTTTTCTTTTCTTTTCCACATCCCTTCTCTCGTTTTTTTCTTTTTCTTTTTCACTCCTATTCTTGTATTCTTGTATTCTACAAACACACGTACACGAACGCACGCTAAAGGTAAATAAACGATTTGAACAAGCAGAAAGCAATAATGGGGAAAGAGTGATCTCGCAGCGGCTATTTAAAAAAATCACCCTAAAATAAACTGTATTTTATTTAAAGTTTGACTTTTTTTTTACATTTTTAACTTTTTAGTTAGCCTATGTCGCCACACTCCAACAGCACTGGTGTTGATGCTGCTGCTGCTTCTACTGTTGCCTCTGTTTCGAATCAAACCAATACCAACAACACTTCGCCATTGCCTTTTTCGATCCACGGCAGCAGTTCTTTATCGTCAGCATCGGAATCAGCAAAAAATAAAAACAGACGCGGCAGCAGCAGCAGCAGCAGCAACCGCAACCGCAACTGCAATGTCTCTGGCAAGTGTAAAAGCGAGACTGACATCAACAATGACAGCGATGAGCAGTGCAGGAATACGTCCTCTACAGGTAACTACCATCGTTTCTGGGCTACCGCCTCGCCCTCCGACAGCTCTCACCTAAACTCCCACACCGTGGCCACGTCATCGGCCTCGGCGTCGTCCTCTTTCAAACCATCGCGTCGTTCCAGCCTTTCGCGCAACGACAGCAGCCTTGTGCTTTTTGATTCGGCTAATCATCTGCACGTGTCCGAGGAAAACAGCCGAGCGATGATCAACTGGCGCAACGTAATGACGTCCACCGGAAGCAACATCAACAACGGCGGCTCTAAACCAAACACTTTGGGGCTAGCCCTGCAGAATGGCGGGATTCCAGGAATAATGGGCCGGGAGCACCAAAGCCGCATACTTTTTGTGTCGCTTTTGGAGAACTACTGCCGTACCTACGACGACAACCCACTGCGCAACCGGCGCCTCTTTTTTGCCATCTGTCGCACTCTCTATTCCATGGGAATTATCGGGAAGGAGTATGTTGATGAGATGGCCTCGGTGAGATCAACTTACTCGGACGCATTTAGGCAGCTTGTGGTTAAGGCACAGGAGTCTTTGGATATGTATGAGCATCACGATATCGAATCTGGCATTCGATCTCTCATGACGGGGATTGCTGAGGAAGAAGAAGAGGAGGACAATAGCAGCGAGATGAGTGACAGCGTGTCTGGAGACTGTGCGTTCTCGTCTGCAGCGTTTTCGGAATCAGATAATGATTTCCAAGAAGACGAAAAGAAGAGGAGATCGCGGGATGGTACGTTTTCGATTTCTGGAAACAGCCAGTGGACTAAACCGGCGTCGACATTAGCGCGCAGGGCCAGTCTACGCAGTGGCAATGGCGGCGGGTTTGGAGCTGCCACGGCCACTATAAGCGGCTCTACCATTCGCGAGCCATTCCGGCCACAACCACAACCACAACCACAACCACACCGGCGCAGCACAACACCCCACATTAACAACCACACCGGCAACAGCAACATATACAGACGGGGCTCCATATCAGCCTCACCAGGGGGAGCATCAGCAGCAACCTTTGGCAGTATGGTGATGGATATGCAACGATCGCGGTACCATGATGACTTTGTGCAGCTGCGGTGCCTGGGGAAAGGCGGATTTGGAAAAGTATACGAGGTGCGGAATAAGCTCGATGGGCGGCGGTACGCGGTCAAGTTGATCAAGATCAGGGGCGAGATTACGGCCGACAAGACCCTGAGGGAAATAAAAACCCTGGCTAACCTGGATCATCCTAATATCGTGCGCTACTATAGCAGTTGGATTGAGGTCAGTCGTCTGCGGTCGAAATCCGCGGCTGCTAATGGATCGCGCGCCTTATCGTCGTCGCCGCTATTTGCTCAGTATGATCCGGCTGCTTCTGACGACGATGACGAGGACGATCTGTCAGCGGACGATGACAATGAGGGGCACAACATGGCTGGGAACTCTTTTGATTTGGGAGAGTTTAATATCGGGTATTTGACCGCACATGATATTGACGACGATATGTGGGTGCCTGCTGCGGTGGATACGGCGGACGAATGTGATATTGTGTTTGAGGTCAGTGGCGGCGGTGACTTTGGCAGTGACAATGAGAGAGCGCATTCTTATAATAGCGAGGAGCGCAATGGGGATTATGTCGAGGACTGCAGTGATGACGATGACGATACTGGGATTGTGTTTGCACATGCCGACAATGACGATAAGGAGCTCGGGCCGGGATTGGGCGTGCAGGTTGGGCCTCCGTCTTGTCGCTCCGGCTCTAGTGGCAGCAGCACCAGCAGCACCAGCAGTGGCAGTGCTAGTACCAGCGAGAGTGACAGCGGAAGTGAGACTAGCAGCATAAGCAGCAGCAGCGGCAGCAGCGATAGTGACACCGGTGATAGCGATAGCAATGACTCGGCTGAAGAGGAGATCCTTGCTGATGCTCTGCCGAGATCCAATCCCATTCCAATCGCCCTACAGCAGCAGCAATTGCAGCGTCAGCCACCCGCGCACTATCGCCGGCGATCAGTGCACACAACCGGACCGTTTACACCACGCACATCCGCGGGCCTCTCGGCCAACCGCCCGCCACCAGGAATTTCCAAATCCAACTCGGGCAGCCAAGCGCGTTCTCTCCCCACGCAGAACTTTGAATCGGCCTTGAGCACAGTGACCGAGACCACACTTTTTGTGCAAATGCAGCTCTGTCAAACCACCCTGGAGGAGTTCCTCGCGCAGCGCAATACGCGTATTGCCGAGCAGCAAGCCGCTCACGCACTGGAGTGCTTTGACGAGTGCGATGCATTGGATATCCATGGCGGCCAGCTCATTGACCCTGTGCTTAATGTGCGGCTGTTTAGGTCGATTGTCGAGGGCGTCAAGTATTTCCACAGCCGAGATGTTATTCATCGCGACCTTAAGGGAGCCAACGTGTTTTTGGACATTGTGTATGCTGACAGTGGCGGCAATCCGATGAGCCGCAGTGCTAGTGGCATTGGGCGGCCTGGCAATTCATCGCAATCTGTGGTTCCGTTTAATATCAGCCAGGTCAACTCGATGGCCAGTGGGATTGGTGACGTGCACGCGGATGCATGGGACGCTATTGACGGAGGTAACTTGAAGGAGCGGCCTGGCGGGTCCGGTGACAATCTGAGTTTGAGCGCGGGTAGTCGCAAGATCGACTGGGACGCTGTGTTTGAGTGCATGGTTGCCGGATCAGCACACAACAGGGCGGCGCCAATGCCTGGGTTTTGTCTATCGACCTCATCGTCGTCTTCGTCGAGGATGCCGCCGACGCGGCCAGTTGCGCCCAGGGCGCTGCAGCGCGAGTCGTCAGGATTGGCGGCGCTCGTGCCGAGACATCCCTTGGTGACGTTTATTCCGCGCATCGGTGACTTTGGATTAGCGACAAAGTCCACATTGGGAATTCGCAGTTCTGGCAGCGACGGATATGCCTTTATCGGCGGCCAGAGCAAGACAGCTCCTGTATCGACATGCCTGACGCCCACTGATTCACCATTATCAACAAACACTACTGACCGGCGCACATCCAATGTCGGCACAGTGACCTATGCAGCACCCGAGCAGCTCTGTGAGCAACTAAGCGGAGCCGGATATAACGAGAAGGCAGACATTTATTCCCTTGGAATTATTTTCTTTGAGCTCTACTATGCGTTTTCCACCTTTATGGAGCGCATTGCTGTGTTTAAGGATCTGAGGAGGGGAGTTTTCCCGCCAGAGTTTTTGCGGATGTGGCCGAAGGAGGCGGCGTTTATTTTGCGGTTGATGGATGCGAATCCTGATAAGAGGTTGTCGGCGAAGGAAATTTTGGCATTGGATATGTTTGATGTGCCGTCGGTGGAGTCGGCGCAGTTGATGAGGGAGGTTTTGACGCTGAAGCAGCAGTTGATGTTGGCTAATCAACGGAATGAGGAGCTTGGGTTGAGAGTCAGGGAGCTAGAGCGGATTGTTGATTTGAGCGTGAGGAGTGATTGAATTGAATTGAATGGGGATTTATTAGAAAATCTTATGTTTGGTGTTTGTCAATATACTGAACACTATTTCAATTAATATAATAATGCGTTATTTTTTGGTTAGCTAGTATATTAAAAATGTATAAAATTAGGCGTGTCGAGTAATTGAAAATAAACATTTTTGTAAAATATAAAAAGGCTTGGAACTAGATGGAATTAAAAATATGGCCCAAGTGGGGATAGGAGCCAACATGTATAGACGCATAAAAACTAACATAATCCAACAAAGCGGCATTGACTCCAAATAACCTCATGTGCTTGTATGATGGCAGTGCAATCATGACAATTCCATGTGTGAAGGGAAAACTTGCAGGCATACTCTGATCCAGCACCTCCTCAAATATATTCAGCTGTTCTAGCACCGAGTTAAAAATTAGAAGTGAATCAATGTCTATAGTCCAAAGTTCCGTGACTACTGGCACTTTGAAATTGTGGTTTTCATAGCCCGAAAAGTGGATAGTACACATTTTTAGCCATCTTAATTCCTTGAGACAATAGCAGTTTAGGTAGCACCATGTCAATGTGAAAGCTTCCCCACATTGGGGGAGGCAAAATTACATCCAGATATGCGGCCATATCATGGAATTTCCATGGGATAACTGTGTCAATACTGGTCTGGTATGTCGTGGTCTATAAAAATATGGGTCTAAATCGATATATTCAAGTCTTAAAAATTACTTACTAAACTGAAAAGGGGGCAGCGCTGTGTGGGCAGCGCTGTAAACATCATGGTGTTCCTTGATGTCAACCAGCAATAACAGAAATGTGTATAGTGGCCATGAGGGCGATCTTGATTCTTGAAAAGGGAAGATAGTGGCTTGAAATGTGTGTTGGGCACCACATGGTAATGTACACATTTGTATTGGCTCAAGCACAGAAAAGTTCTGGTAGGAAACTTCAATTGGGTTTTCTGCACAGATATAGCCATGACAGTGTTATGTAAAAGGGGGTGGGGAGCACTATTATAATAGTGTTAAAGGATGGGTGTTGAATTATAAAGTGCTATTAATAATGTTTCCAAAGTACTACTAGCGCCGGCCTCATCTTATATATGTATCTCATTGCATTTGTTGTGCACATTGTCAATTGTGCACTCTGTTGGCGAGAACTGGTTCTTCTGCGAGTAGACCAGTATCCTAACAAGTTAATGTTGTGGTTTTCACATATGTGCGCTCGTGCGTGTGCATTACAGAATGGAAAGCATATTTGGGAATCATTATTATGCCTCCCTAATTTACTCCTGCATAATCCAATTAGTGCCCTATCAATCAGCATGTAGATGGAAGCTTGTTTCGAGATTCTCAACCTTAGCATCCACTTCCATATCTTTGGACTGCACAAAATGACAATAAAAGAAAAGTACAGCATACGGATATACATAAAGCTGACGTTAGACCATTTTATAGGGTAGTCTATTCAAACCCAGATGTATTGCATATTTACACTACAATCAAAGACAAGGGCGTTAATTTCAAATTGTACACACTTAGATGCATGTTCAAAGAAACAAAAGAGGTGCTGCTTAATTGCTCGGCCGACTGCATAAAACAAAGTATTGTGGTGGTTTTTTTGTTAGTTCGCTATAAGCTCTTTACTCTGAAGGCTTGGCTTGTATAAAGAAATCCCGCTTGTTTGTTTGTAACAGCAGGTAATGGAGGATTAACTGCTGAACGTGCGCCAAATTTTTAGTTGTTTCAATTTTTATTTTTTAAAACAAGCTATTTTATCTACTCTACTATAAATTAACTTGGTATTATAAGGTCGCATTTTGCACAAGCGATAAGCAGTTTACTTTAGATTAATTTCTTAATACCTTTATCCGTAATGATGGTTGCTACTGCTCTTGAAATGCCAATTTTTATTAGAATTCGAGATTATCAATTCGGAAAATTGGTTGAATTCAAGTTTATCAATTCGCAAAATTGGTTGAATTCAAGTTTATCAATTCGCAAAATTGGTTGAATTCAAGTTTATCAATTCGCAAAATTGGTTGAATTCAAGTTTAGCAATTTGTAAAGTCGTTTGAATTCAAGCTTGTCAATTCACATTTTTAATTTATCT